AGCAATTTTCCAAGATACCTTTGAGTTGAAGTACGTCGAAAGCTATGACTTAGGCTACATCATTGGTTTTGTTGGATGGGACCACCAAGATGGTTGGGATGCCTACAACAAGATGTCAAAGATAAAGAAAGCCAACTTTCTCATTCCTCCCAACATGTGAAACGAAATTGTAGAGCTAGAGGCGTTTGAGCGAACCAGATTGAGTGATGACTTTGATGATGGATCCCGAAGTCACTCCACCTGCCAACTTCAAAGTTGCTCCCGACTTTCCTGCTGCTGAAAAAGGTAAGGTTATTGATGCTGCAGCTATTTTTTATAATGAGGGTTAATCGTAGTTTTTAGTTTGAAGTGTTTTTAGACAATTTTTGTTGCTATAAAGAGGGCATGTCCTTTCCAAAATTGAACAATCGACTTTTTGCCTTAGTCATGGACTTTGGCTGTTTAAGTTTATGGACCGAATCTCCTTGCATATCTTTTAGTCAAGTAATTCTACTCAAATCTTTAAGCCTGTTAGAGTATAATACTTAGAACTTTTCATCCCTTACTTCCTTACACAGAATATAGTTTAGTCCGACCATATTTCCAAAGTAAACCAACTTTGAAGTTTGAGTCATAGATGTTATCTCTTAAGTTGTTAAAAAAAAAAAAAAAAAAAAAAAGAAAACCAAATTTCCACTCCACCATGTGTGGAGGAGATACACAAACAAACTCAAATACCTATAGAAAAACAAACTATCATAAGATCACCATTGCACCGGTAGGGTACCGGTAAAAGGGCCAAAGGTCAAGTTAGTAAGCAATTTATTCATGGTCAAGTTAGTAAGCAATTTATAAGACTCAAGTAGTAGTTAAGAGAATTGAGTATGCGATAATTGTGTTACCAGAGATGAACTCTAAAATGATGTATTTATACTAATAGAGAGATAGTCCTTTTAGGTTATACAATCCGTTTTAAATTAGAAGAATGTCAGAGGATAACTAGGAGTTGATATTGCATCCTCTTATAAGTGTAATTACTTATAGCACACGCCAATCCCTAAATTGTAAGAATCTCCAAGAATATAGGAAAGTAATTAGATCCCTGATCAGATCAAGTTTTCATATCTTGGGAAACAAGAATGGTTAGTTTCATTGAAGTCAGAGTACTTCACCTACCTTTTCGGTACATAGAATGCGGTGGCATCACTAGTCCGTCGGTGCAACTCACTTTGATAAGAGTTGTTGAGTCCATGATCGAACTTCTAAGGTATTCATATTCCGATCCATCATACTCTGACTTTGGAAAATCATGGTCCCACATTCACCATAAGTTTATGAAACGAACGTGACATGTTTTTTCGTATCAAAAGATAAGTAGAGAACTTGTAAAAGGGAAGTCAAGCTGAAAACCAATTTATCACTCACCCCTAATGCACATATATAGTTGTATAAATATAATGAATGAATAAATGAATAAACTTGTGAAAAATAAGGTCAAAAGTCCAAAATAACTTGCTTTTGGATGTAAAACTTAGGGGTGTGCTATCCACACACGATTGTTTACTTCTCACACAACTTATTAATTTTCAATTGTCGGATCGGATGAATTGAAGAATATCAAAAGATAGAAAAATCATAAGGGGTGTGTGAGAAATAAAAAAATATGTGTTAATAGCACACCCCAAAACCTAACGGAATTAGGTTGAGATGACAAATTAATGATTTTAGAAAATTCATATGACAAATTAAAAACTATGTAAAAGTTCATATGACTTTTTTTTTTTAAATTCTTTTTTCCTTACTTGGAGTTGGAGCCCTTCAGCATAAAAAAAAAAAAAAAAAATATATATATATATATATATATATATATATATATATATATATATAACTAAAGGTTGTATAGTAATTTAAACTAGAGAGTTTTAACGAAAAACATGCGGTACTATTCACTTTAATGAAAAACCACATTTTTACACTAAAAACTAAAACATGATATTATTCATTTTACCTTTTATTTTGTCCTTATCGTTAAAACTCAAAGTTTTCAAGCATTTTTCATTAGTTTTCTTTTTAAACTAACCTACCTTCTTACCCACCCCATCTTTTATCCTTTTTAACACTTTTCATCAGCATAGCATGTTGAAAGTTACTAGATATGTTACAATGAAAGTCTTCCATATGCATAATCAGTGTTCTAAAAAACACCCTAGGCGCTGGGCGCCTAGCAACCGAGACGTTTTTGGGCAAATCGCGTGGAAAAATCGAGTTGGGCCTAGGCGGCACCTAGGTTGGCTAGGCGGGCTGGGCGGCTAGGCGGGCTAGGCGATCCTAGGAGGTTTATTTATTTATTTTTTATTAATTGCGTTCTTTTTTCTTTTTTGGTTTCATGGTGGTATACTTATGGAAATGGTGTATCTAATTTGCAAATGATGGATTTACTACAAGTTCATCCAATACTTATGGAAATAGTGTACCTAATTTGCATTTTATCATTATTTTATTATCCATGCAAATATAGTTTTTTTTAGGTGTCAATATGCACTTATTTACAAGATATACAAGAAATTTACTTAAATCTGCCTAGTTGTCGCCTAGCCGCCTAGGCGCTAGACGCTAGCCTACCGCCCAGTTAGCACATAACGTTTTTTAGAACCTTGTGCATAATACATCTACTTTTTAACGAAGAGGATATTTTCATTGATATTTTTAAGTACAATCCAATGCAAACATCAAATCAATTTGTCTTTTGGGTCCCAATATATCTTCATCAAAGCTTTCTTATAGTAATTTTGCAGTCACATTTGACCACTAAGAAATAGTTTTCTTGGTTTTTCATGTGACACCAGTGTCATGTGCACATGGCTGTGGGGTTAGTGTTGTGCGTGCCATAATCACACTTGACATATGCGATATTTTAGTCGAAATCCTTGGTTGCACACTTGCTAAATATTGTTTCTTGTGGAACCATCAGACGGCTAGTATTGTTTCTTGTGGAACCATCAGACGGCTAGTACTGTAGGGGAAACTGATAGAGACAAACATTGTAGGCCTTAAACCATAATTTCAGTGTTAAAACTTCAAACCTTACGACGTTTTTACAGCAGAGAAAAAGCTTCAAGAGCCAGCGATAAAGAAAAGGAAAGCGTGACAAAGTTACATTCTTCAAGGGCTACAACATTCAACAGTCGAGTTCTACCCTCCTTGTGATTGACCAGAACCAACATTAGTGGCTGAGGCATTTGAGGAAAGGGTTTGATCCTTTTGGGTCCGCTTGTTCATCTCGTTACTCCATATGTCTATTATATTGCTCAATATGCTCGAGGATCATATTACTAATATCATCTGCTCGAATAGTTACAAAGAGTCTTTCTTTGTTTTTGGAAGAAAAAAATTCATGCTTGGAGAATGACTAAATAATATGAAAATTAATGATTAAATTATTATTTAAATATTGATTAACGTGTTTATTTTTTATTAGTAAAACGTCAAATACAGTGTCATTTTTTATATTTTATATTTTATTATTCCAACACAGCCACAGAAAAATGAAAAAACCATACTGAAATAATTACATTGCAAAGCGAAGAGAAAAACAGAGAAAAAAGATGACAGTTAATCAAGGGCTAAACCACTCTACTAGCATGGAAACTGAATCCTCAGAACAGTGTGACAAGAGCGAGTTGACACGCGCAACTCGGCCGAAAACAGGAGCTAACACGGCCGAGTTCATCCCTTCTTTTACCACTACATCCTGCTCAAACCCAACAGCAACAGTAGCAGACTGAGATGAGGCCGAGCCATTAGAGGAAAGGGTCTTATCCCTTTTCTTCATCTCATTACTCCACATGTACACCTGCACAGACATGATCACTCGATACCTTCCTCACCAGCCAAAATGGCTAGAGTGTTGAAGAAAATTCCTCAACTTGAAATGCTTCTTGTGAAATTCGAATGGGGAATATTTTGAAGGTTGGATATTTTGGAAGGTAGGAAACTCAGGTGGTCTTTTTATATTATATATTAAAAAAAGTGCAAATATGTATGTCTGTGGGCTTTAAATTTTGATAGGAAACAAGTACCCACGATGGTCGGTTTCAGTCTGCATGTTAATTCCAAAACCACTGCAAGCTAGTGGTATTAGTATTACCATTGTTTTAAGTGGAGTTATGGGAATCAAAACATCGGGCAATTTGTTTGGAAAATGATCACTAGCTCATTGTGAAGTTAAGTTCACATCTTTCTTTATTGTAAAATACTATCGTTTGTTAAAAAATAAATAAAAATTAAAAAAAAAATAGTGAGGTGATTTTTAGGAGTTCAGCTGAGTATCAACCTCACCAACTACCATCTTTTTTTTCTCGAGTGGTAATTGCCTTCGAAAAGGTCTCATCTCGAGTCACTCAAATTTGTTATGAGAGTTTTTCCACCCCTAAAAAGCTCTCCGGTCCATATAACAGTTCGAGTGCATTTTTATTCCTAATTAAACTAAATAGCCCAATTTGTATTAAAATATTATTAAAAAATTATAAAATAATGTAAGATAATTTTATTTTTAATTTCGGATGAATGTAAAAGATTGGTTGAAAGTATTTGAAAATATTGAAATGTGGGGTAAGGTGAAAGAACGTGATTAGGTATTTATAGAAAGAAAAATAATATTTTTTGTATTTTGATTGATTTTGATCATTTTTGTATTTATTTTGTACTTTAATTAATCTGACATCATCATTGCATCACATGGCCTAAGGGCTAGGCTAGTCGATTTTAGCCCGGGTGAGCAACTGAGCTTGGAATAGGGTGGAGTTTTGGGGAGAGGCAGATATTTAATCCAGAATCCTCTAGGGGATTTGAGAGGAGTGACAAAAGGCCTCCATTTAACAAATGTAAAGATATTATTGTATTTGTGATGAGTACGATACTTATACGTGGGTAGTCAATTATGGTGTAGCTTATTGTAAGGATATATTCAGAAATTGACCAGTAATGATGAAAATACAAAACCTCAATTGCTAAACGATTACTTTTCAAAACACTATAGAATCAATATTTCATAGATATGGCATCGTTTTCAAAAGGTGAGATATACATCGTATCATGTGTGGAAAAACTCAAGTAAATGGGAAGAAAATACTGCTGCGTCATTTAGTTTCATATCTCCTGCTTACCAGCAAATAGAAGGATACACACAAATTTGGAAGGTAATACGCAAAAGAAAAGTCGGTTTCACAGCGGGCCAAAACTCCAAATAAAAAATAAAATCCGGTCGACAACGGAGCCCATTTAACTGTATCTGAATTAAACGTTTCATGTCAGTCTTGTTCATTTGGTATTCCGGCAGAGGTAGGATCCTGCACCTCCTGAAACACAACCTGCGGAAAAGTAAACTGATTGCCTACCCAATGAGATAGACAACCTAAATCGGTAAGTGAGAAAGAACTGGTCGACCTGTCTGAGCATAAATTACGGCAAAGGGAAAGATTTATGTTACTCACATCGGTAAGAAAATTGGTGATACAGAACCCATGTTGGCCTTGTGCGTAGATACTGATAATTGAACAGAGATGCACCCACGAACATGATGCACCATGACAGCAAGCTGCCAAGAACTCAATATCCTCTTGATACTACTTTGAATTGAATTATCCTTGCACTGTCAATGGTGTACTGTGGATGTGGAATGACCTTTCTCAAACCTCCCGCAGTATTCTAGTTGCATAATACTCTGTGAGGTTGTCCGTCCCAGACTCCAAACTTTATGATGGAATTAAAGCAGTAAAGGCGGCTAAGCATGCCCTTTTACTTTTCGGAAACCGAGTTCAGCTTCACAACAGAAGAGTGGTTCGCATGCAGCAGTAATTTTACCAAGGCTCCCCATGTCCTCCGCCTAATAAACTGCTGACCATCATAGGGTGCGCAAAGGCCTGAGCAGGTTTCAATATTGCCAATTAATGAGGCCATTAGACTTTCATGGCCAATTGCTCACAAAAACAATCCTCATGGTGAATTTAATGATCAGGAACCTCAAATTTTGAAGCCAAAAGACAGTCGGATTGCTGAAGCTTGCCCAGGAGGTAAAAAGTTCCATCCTGAAGTGTGTGATTATTCATGGCAAAAGTGAATGAGTTCACGAAACATTCCTGACCCTGTCAATTGCTCTGTAAACATAAGACTTGATGTAGTTTAAACAGACCATCTTCACAAGTTCAAATCCATGGTGTCCAACCTTCATACATGTTGCAAAGACTGTCAACACTCGTGGCTTGCTTAAGTAGATAGTCAACTTGCTCCCCGATAGTAATCTCTCTGAGAATAAACAAAAGATTCAATGTCAATACCAATTATGACCAAGAACCCATACAGATCCCCAGAAGCAGCAGTTACCTATTGTCAGCAATGTCTCGACCAACTAGTTTCATCTCAACTCGTCTTAAGACCGACATTGCATAAGGGTTTTTACCTATAAAAAGAACCAAAAGTAACAAAGGTAAGTGCAACAATGACAATTATTAATTTCATGTATTAAGAACCTGAAAATCACCAGAACAAAGGTAGTATGTATTCAGACAGTGAATGGAAAAGGAATTACAGTAGTTTCAACTAAAAGGCAAGAACAATTGAAGATGCATCATCATATTATAAAAATTACAAAATTCTTTTGGACCACATGCAAAGATTCTTCCACAAAATAAAGTTGCATTACGATTTCTCAACCAAAATCTTTACTGATCTCAAGAGTTCTCATCAATTCATAGCATGTTCTCTCACACCGCTTCTTTTCTTATTTGCCATGTTTCATTTATGTTATTTGAAAAATCAAAATAGGGCTAGAGTTATTAAATAATCCTAGTAGAACCAGAATTTATTATGAGTACTCAGAATGTATCATCCATTTATCCTACATATCAAATTAAAGAATCCCTTCAGTTTATTTGCCCTAGAACACAAATATCTTCATTCCAACTTCAATTCGAATCACTTAATCTCTCCATATTTTTGTCTTTTCCCATTGAGTACACATTTTCAGCTGTGTTCAGCTGGACAAAAGCTTAACGCTTCTGCCCAATCCCATTTTTCTTCTCCTTTCGGCTCGACTTGTTCAGAAACATTTTTAGTGTTTAATAAGCTTATTAGTTTCAGCAATTGTGTCCATGCTATAATTATAGAATTATTTCCTATATAATACATACATACATACATACATACATATATATATATATATATATATATATATATTATATCCAATTACTTCTTTGTTCATAAAGAAGAAATAAAAGAAATAACAAGTAGATAAACAAAAGGCAAGAAATGAAACAGTAGATATTCATGCAGAAGAGAGAAAAAAAAAAGACAACACAAGTAGAAAATTTTATAGGATAGGCACGATACTTACCCCTCCCAACTCGGGTAGAACGACTTTCATCTTTAATTTTGGCCTTGTTTAGTGAGGATATTTCATCTTTACTCCCAAACATCTCTGTGTTCTCATTCAAAGGATGTGAAATATCAGGACAGACAGCTGCAGATTCATCACCTGGTGTTGACTTTGGGTCACTAGGAGTTGACTTTGGGACACTAGGTATCGACTTAAAAAAGCCAATATGAGTGTTATCAACCTCTGTGTACTTTGATTCCAACTGTACAGAACCTAGTACAGAACCTAAGATTTCTGGGCTATCATTTATAGAGTCAGGAGCAGTGTTTTGATAATCTGTACCCTCTCTGCTACTACGACCATGCAAAAGCTGTTGTCCTATATCTTCTGGATCATTGAAGCTACCTGGTAAACTCTCTTCAGCTAAGGTAATGCCAGACTCGGTACTACTACTGCAGATACTATCGGGTGGAGATAACCATCCTTTAGATTCCAAAGGAAGTCCAGTAATGCCGAGAAAATCATTGTTGCTTTCACTGTTTGACATAGAGAGGTCCTCTCTCTCTTCCTTTTCATCAAATCCAGTAGCATCAGAAGTAAGATCAGGCCTCGATACATCAATTAGTGGTGATTCCACTTCCTGGCTTTCTCCTAGTCCTTCAAGAGCCTATCAAAGATGAGAGAGAAAGGGTTTACATTTAGTCAACATACTGTTGTAAAAAAAAAAAACAAAAAAAGAAAGATGATTTATGTCAATACTGTTGACATACTTTATGAAGATTTCCAGCATGAAGACTAGCAGTTCGTGCAAGCCTGGTCAACATAGAATAGAGCCCCTTGACAGATGATGTGAGGGAGGGCACCAAAGGCTCTAAGGCCTGACGAGCCTCCCTAATTCTTAAGGAATACGACTGGTATATGGCTTGTCCATGAATGGGAGATATTTCCATCTTGGTCTCTGTTTCCCTAGCCATAGCATCAGTCATAGCAGCAACATCCTTGGACAAAACTGTTTCCAGTGGAAGAAGAATTGCATTTGCCTGTCCAAGATGTCGCAAACAGCATGTATGGTTATGTACATACTCAGTAAATAATCAGATCTAGTTGTATTTTCATAAATAAATAAATAAAACTCGCAGAATAAGTAAAACTGCAATTCATAAATGTAAAAAGGAATATAAAACTTTAATTGTGAGATGGGGAAAACCTTCAAAAGTTCCTCCACAAGAGAACGATGTACTGCAGCAGCCTCCTTTCCTAGACTGTGAACATCATGTAGGTCTTCAGTTATTGCAAGCACCTATCCAAAGGAGAAGCATTAGCCATATAACGAAGCTATCCCCAACCAAACAAAAAGTTGAAAACGACAAGAGTAATTGAGTCCCAGTTGATAGAATCCTTGTGAAACTGTAATTGCAGAAGGAAAGGAAAGGAAAGGCAAATTCAGTTGATAGAAGGCCTGATAACAGGAAGATGCAAGGTATTTCAATAATCTATCATAAAGATCATAGGCAATCTATCCATCAACTTTATTTCATATGCATAATTAGATTGCTGAAAGAAACAACATTCATACAGAACCAATGTCATAATACATCGGTATGTTACTATCTACACATTACTAATTGTTTTTGGTTAAATAGGTTGTCAGAAAAGTAAGTGCAAATGGAGCAAAAATAAGCAAGATGGATGACCATTATTTCCCTCGACATAATCCCACTTTCTAGAATAGGTATGATAAATCAGAGCAATAACATTTACAAAAAGTAAAGAGGAAATGATCATTATAAGTCCTGCTCACTATAAGATCATAAACTCTGTGGATGACTAACAATTAGAACAATGCCAGAATGTAAGGCATTGCCAACTTATTAGAATAGCCAAACTAAAAGAGGGAAGCAGGCCCTCTATACAATTTGGGTACCTCAAATAAAGATAAGAAATCAAAAGATTTGGGTACCACAAAGGGAAGCAGGTCCTATGAATAATAGGATGGTTTTGAGGAATCTGTAGGTGGCAGCAGAGGGAGTGATGGGAGAAAGTTTGTTTCTGGTCTTCATTATGAGCTTCGGTGTCGTCAGATTTTAAATATTTGTTATTTTCATGTAGTTGCCTTCATTGGAAAGCTGCCATCAGTTAGCTTCTTGAGTTTTCTTACTTGTTTTCATTTTAGGGGTTCATTTTTGCTTTGCTAGTTTTCTGTGGACTTCTGTCCACTTGTGTATTTTTACTGTCTTAATGAAACTAATTATTACAATTGAAACTAACTATTACAATTGAGTCTTTTGAATAATTGTAAGGACTAATAGTGTATATTGTTTAGTAGAATTTGAACATTGGTGACCCACATTTTGGTAATTTCTATTTAACACATCCAAAATCCAATGTGTGGTTGTTACTTGTTAGTTGTTACACATGAAGGGAGTACAAGTGGATATTGTTTAGTAGATCTTCATATCCGGTGCTGGCCTGCTAATAGAAATAGCAGTAAACTAGCAAACTAAACAGTGATTACCCACCAATGTAGCGTATATAGTCTCTGCTTAGTAGCTATACACTGATTTATATTGATCCAATACATTAATGTACCCAATCAAACCACCACTCGCATTACCATATCTCAAACATGAAATATAAATTCCAGCGTAACGTGCATCACAGTATATAAACAGACCAACCACCGTAAAATTAGTAATACTGCTCCAATGGCAAAATCAATTAGCATCAAAATTCTAACTCATACCTCTTCAAGCATGGAACCACATTCAGAAGTCAAAGTAGAATGACGATTTGAAACACGGGCATATGCCCCAAGTGCAACACTAGCTTCGCATGCAGAGTCACTCATTGCAAGAACAGTGCTTTGTAAATCACCTGTAAATGACAAAAACCAGCAAGTCTCACATGATTTACAGATATATAGTATGTATAGCACAGGTGTGTGTGTGTGTCCTAGGCTCCTAGCATATAAGAGTGAAGGACATATCCATTGGTATATGTGGAAAAGAAGGTATGACCTGAAGCGGACTTTGCTTTGAGAGTGGCAATACTAAGTTCTTTGGTTGCAGAAGACAATCCACTGGAAGCAGTTTCCACGGTGCTTTGTGCAAGCTTCCATTCTTGTTCAGTGCCTAATACAGGAAACACCAAAGCACACATTAAGGACTCGTATGGATGAGAAGTTGGTATCAGAAACAAGTTGATTATCAAACAACATTACAAACTCACAAGCAAAAGAATGGTAAGTAATATCCAATCTTTTAAGTGCATTCAAGTAAGCCTGCTGCCATGTTCTGCCATCAGTGCCAGTCCTGAATGGGTACATCTCTTCGGGAGATCGGAAAATACCATCTCTTGATGCTTCAAACTCCAATATAGACATGCAAATTCTAATAATATCTGATGCCTTTTCCCTAGCTTGCCATAGTAGTTGCCTTCGCCTGATTAGATGGTCATGAAATTCGGGAGGAATTCCAGAATTCTTACTTGAACTATTTCCAGCTGCACTGGAGTTTGGGCCACCACAAGCCCACCCCATTGCTCTCTCAAGCTGCCCTTCAGCCGCCAGAGAAGTTCGTTCACAAGCTTGCAGTGACTCCATAGACCTGGCTATCTTTGAGACAGCAGATTGCAAACTTTCCCGCATGTTAGGTCTGCTAAGTGTTAAGACAATAGGATATAAACTATCATCCCCAGCAAGAAATGTCTGAAACATGACCCTGCTACTGTGTGAAGGGGTCAAAGTAACATCATGCATCCATTCAATCTGAACAATCTCCAGGCCAGTCTTCCAAAGAGCCTCTCTCAGCTCTTTCACCTGCCTTTTCATTAGAGATGCAGCGGAACTTGCTGCTCTGGCAGTTTCATGTGCATTGCAGAATTCCTCAAGCATAAGATGAACCCTTTTTAAAGCCCCAACATCTCTTTTTACTTCATCAAGAGCAGCTTCCTTCATAAACTCTGTCAATTGCTTCAGATGCTCAATTTCTTTATCAATGCTAGCCAATAAACTAGGAACAACTCGATCCTTCAGGTATCGACCAAGATGTTCTTGAAGTTGTATTTCAAGCTTTCTCTTAACAACATTGAAGAGCTGGTCAAACCCTAAAGTTTGATCAACAGATGAAGCTACATCATTTAGGCATGAGTCCAGAAAAGAATCAATAACACCAATTTTCCAAACAAAGAAAGAATGTTGACTCAATAAGCTGCCAAACTTCCAAACATATTCAGACATTGGGTACCCGGCACTCATCAAATCTGCTAAATTAGGAATCTCAGTTGAGTAAGAAGTAAAAGAACCTCCAAATGAAGACAGCACTTTATCAATCAATTCCAAATCAGAAAAGGGCTTAACAAGCATGTCCAGTAGCAGCTTGCTTTTCGAGACATGCAGCTCTCTTTCCTCTTTGACACTAACTAGAGACTGAAAATGATGTGCAGAAGCAGCGAGGGCATTCTTTATATTAGATTCTCTCTTTATAAGAGAGGAAGTTCGCAAGTCCCTTTGGTTCCAAGTTTGATGGAGTTGGTCCAGCTGTGCCCTACAAGCTTCTTCTTGGGAAGCAAGCTCCTCTGCCTCTTCCCATGAGAGATGATCCCTACCTTTCATAGCAGCTTCTTCAAGAGCCAACTGCTGCTCAGTAATGAGACCAACTTTAATGAAGTAGTTCTGTTCTAGTTCAACTAAAGATGCCCTCTCCATCTCTACTTCTATGAGTTGCTCAAGTACCGTATCAATAGAACCGCGAATTTGTGAGATTAGTCCAAACGCATCCATGACTTCTGAATTCAGAGAAACTGCAGATCTTATTACATCCGGAAGAACAGCTTCAGTCATTTGCCCAATCAAGCTCTTAAAGGAATGTAAAATGGTTTTAAAAATGGAAGCCCAATTTCCATCAGAATAATATCCTGGACGGCCTTTATCTGTGTCACCACTAGGTAAATCTCTACCAATCAGTTGCTGCAGTTCATTAACAAGGCCTGCTAGAAGTATACACTTCTCTACTTGCTCCTCAATCCCACAGAAAATAGTTTCAAATTCCATCTGTAACTGGTTATTTGCCTTTCTACGTTTATTTGAATCATTAATTATGTTGAGCACCTTATGTTTGACCTCATTGTACATATAACTGGATGCTGTGTTCAGAACAAACAAAACCTTCTCCCTTTTTTCATTCAGATCCCCACGCAATCTAGAATCCTTTGTCCCATTTCCATCATTCTTAGATTGCCCAAATTGAATGGAAACAATGGCATCTTCTTTCTTTGCAAGACCAGCTGATTGCATGAATTTCATGAAAGAAGACAGAAGCCGATCCTTAGCCTTTGATTCGGTCTCTGAGCCAACAGAGTTCGCTAGCTCAGCATACTCCTCTTCAAGCTTCTCTATCTCTAGGGTATACTTCTTCACTTTACGACACAGATCATCATGACTCTGTGTGACAGAATCAAAATTCTCCCCATGTTGTTTGGCAATAAGTTCAGCACCCTGTCTTCTAGCAAGAGATAGGGTATCAGAGGAAAGAGCACTGGCAGATAGTTGCAGAACCTGTGCCCAGCCATGAATTGCACTCGTTGTAATGTAATTTAATGGTAAAATTCTTTGCAAAGCCAAAGAATATACTTGAAGTGCATTTATCGCAGAAGACAGACCATCATCCAGTTCAGATACTAGTTGAGAGACTTCCCTATCTATATCATAGCATTGTGTTTGTGTAGGCTCAGGAACAATAGTCAGCGGAACCCCAGCCACCAGAACGGCAGATGTAAGAGACAATGTTTCTTGCATACCACTCAGCTTAACAAAAGCATTTATTTCTTGAAGTAAATTGCCTCGTAAAGCATCAAGGATGCTCCCATGTTGTTCCATCCAGGTTGCTGCCTCTTGAGATTTCTCAGCAACCAGGGCCTTTGCCTGAGCAAATTCTCGAGCCTGGATTTCAAACAATGCACGAATTTTCTCTGAATTACTAGTAGCTTCAGCAACCATTGACCTCGCAGATGTTTCATGCAGAATTAGGCTAGACCTCTCTTGATCAGCTCGATAAAAGAGTGCAGATGAAAGTTCATATTGGTTTAGAACATCAGCAAACCTCTGGTCAACATTTCCCAAATGTCATTAACAAATGTCGGCAGAACAAAAATGAGAAACAAACTAAAGTGAAAAGCATGTACCCACCTCAAGAGCAGATTCAACAGCTGGTAGTGTAGCCAATAAAAGATCGTGATGTTCCTGCTCCCAGTTAAATGGTATCAAAGTGTCATTCAAATAATCAAACTTCCACTGCATATAAATACTTAAAACATATATATATATATGGACAGTTGGACACACATAACCAAAGTTAGGAGGTACAAGCAAATTAGAGATAACCTGAAAACAGAACTTTAATTGTCAGATACAAAGGTATAGGGACAGTGACTGCAACTTCAGGATATTTACAGACACATGATAATAATTGTGAGAATCACACATAATGTGCTAGGTATAAATTCTCGGTACATCGAGATGCTTTCTAGTCATCCAGATATAAATTACTAATTTAAGGGAGTGCCAAAGAATCGCTGCAGTGCAAATGCACAGAAGCTTATGTTTCAGAATGATTACCTGTAAGGGAACACGAATTTCCTGTACACGAGATGCAAATAAACTGAGACTGACAGCCAACTCCATGCCCTTCCTCTCTTCACCACCAATTGCAGCAGCATCATGAAAATCTCCCCGTGTCCATTCCACAAGCGGGTCCCAAACAAACACTTCCAGTAACATCAAGAGTATGTCTTTGTTCTTCCTCAAAACACCAATAACTGCTTCACAGTTTGACCTAAAGGTACCTTCTATCCCCGTCATCCCTAATGCTGCTTCAATGGTCTGTGTAAGGCGGAAGGGAACAATTTCTGGAATTTTTAGTCTTTGCCCTTTATCAAAACAGACATTGTAATCAATATGGACTACATCACCACTACAAAAATCCATTAGAATATTATCCAAGTGTCTATCCCCAAGGCCAAGAATGTGGCCCACCATGCTCATGGCAGCAACACTTCCAGAAAACCTACAAAATGAAGTACACATTAAAAGCTAAATCTATACATTATATTTTATTTATGAAACAAGAGTGTCTGATCGCAAAAAATTTAATAGTCGAATACCACTATATATTAGAATGAAAAAAATGCTATACTATACTGAAAAAAAGGAAGATAAACTGATCATTAAGCCCAGCATATCACTAATTTGTACTCCAATGTTTATATATAGAATCATAGATATACATATATATATATATATATATATATGTGTGTGTGTATTACCCTCTTCACGTAACTCCATGAGCTGTATACCTGCTAACGGTATATGCGATTTGAGAGAAGTGGATACCACGTGAGCAATCGCCTTTGAATAATAGTATATATGCTACAATAAAAATGCTTTAATGTATGATGACTAGTTTGAAGAACAGGAAGCTCCACCAACAATACAATTAATAGAACCGAAACAGGTTATTAAGCTTGGTAAATTATATAAATTAATGCAACGAAGATTATTAGTACAGGAACGAAGAGCTTTTCCAGGGTCTTAGTTACCTCTTCTGTTTTGAACTGAAGGCTTTGAATCCTTCACTAGCACACCAAAGTTCTTGATGAAGAAGCTGTCTAGGAGTCTCCTTCATAAGTTCTAAAAGAACTTTACGCTTCACCTCATGAGGCCAGTCTCTTCGTGAAATTACTCTCCTTATACCTTTCTCTTTGAGTGCTGGTATGATTTTACCATAGAACATGTCACTGGGTCGGGGAACAGCTGGAGGAACAGGACTTTTTGAACTGCCACCACCCACTGCTGAGAGCTGAGCTAGTTGGATGCGGCTTTGCCAAGACTTAAAGACGCTGTATATGCTAATTACATTATCTACCCACTGGATGAGACCAGCACGGCCACTAATTGGAGTCACAGAATAATAGCGAATACCAAGAAAGTGGCTGTGAGTTGCAAGAGATGTATGCAGGAAACCATTTATAGCTTGCAAGAGCTGCATTATTCTAGCGTCAAGGCGGAGATCTTCCCTGCCTTTCAAAAGATACATGTACTTTTGACCATCTGAACCAAGAATAACGAGTTTCTTAGGTTTAGTCTTGGTTGATATGATAGTCACTTCCTCAGAGAAAGATGCAATGGTGATAATTCCTTGGAGATTAGCACTGAGAGCTCTGTCAGATTCAGAGACTGTGTCTTGCTTCTCAAGACCAGGCATTGGAACATCAGACGATGACAGTAGAGCCAATTGTGGTGCAACTTCACTTAAAGGAATTGATAACTTCCTCTGATAAGATGCTAAGGATGAAGCAATGTTATCAAATGGACGCCATGCATCTCCAAGTGCTGCAGCGGATGCTGGAGGAGTCTTGAAGGCTGTGATGGCTGATTTCAACCGATCTTTATACTCCTCGTGGAACCATACTTCATGAGGAGTTTCAGGTTTCCGAGATGTAGAAGCCAGACGACGTTCCAAGGACACAACAATAGGAGCCATCATAGCTGAATATTTAGCAGCATTTATCTTGTTTTTCTCACTCTGGCTAAGAGTAACATTTTCTGCAATTCGTGCAGCTTCCTCCTTTAACACGTTTATGCGCCTCATCACATCTGAAAGAAAAATCAATAAAAACAAATGGGTCAGATTGAAAAACAGTACACCAATGCTTATGTCTGGTGCACGCATATTCAGGTCCCAGCATGCAGCACCTCATTTGTGAGTAATGCCTGCACATTAGTCACTAGAATATAATTTCATATCCAAGTTGCATAAAACTGACAAGAGAAGATTTACTTCCCAAATAATTTTTGGCAGCTAAAACCCAAAAGATGTTCAAATAAATGGCATCAAAAGCAGCAAAAGCCTCATTTAAGCGAGGTCAAACATACCTGTGTGAAGATCTTGAAGGGTGCTGAGCCATAGCTCCTCCCAAAGAACAGTAACGTTTCCCAGCTCATTTATCACAAGCTGAACATCCTGAATCAATCTTGGGTATATTTCACTCTGCATGTAAAATGAGTATGCGTAAAGCGTATTATATTCCATGTTAAACGAGTAAGTAAAAAAAACAGAATCTTGAATGATCAAAATTTGGGATGGTTAACACCATTTGCATGATATAACCAATGCAATTTCTTTATAAAAAAAATAATGTCATTTGAAATATAAAGAAGCATTAGTATAAACTAATTACTAATTTGTTATTATTAAAAACTGCGAAGTTATCCTGGAATTGTTCCCTTCGTTGTTATTCCCGAAGTCTGAGTCTAATGCACATTAGTGAAAGAAATTTCCTTACCAGACAACCAAGTATGTGCTGAAGCTCCTCTGAAGGCTTCTCCTCATAAGCATCCACATCGACTAGTGTTGGGTAGACAATGGACCAGGGAGATTGCTTGGCCAGCATCATCAGTAAGCCCTCCAACTGCTTCCGAACCACTTGCTCGGGATGAGAACTTAACCGTGCAAACAATTGGGGTGTTACTTCCTAGAAATGAGATCATAATGAGATTGCAATCAAATCTTCCTGCACCAAAAATTAGTATGAACAAAATAAACCAAGGAAGAGCGGCTTACCTGCCATGGGGACAAAGGAACAGTTGAAAGAGCAGGTTCAAGTACATCTCTCAACTCAGCTCCATATTTGAGGAGAATATGTAAGACATACAATGTAGCCCTCAAAGTATAGCTGCCTGTTTTTTGCTTCAGAGACTCAGAATCAGATTCAAACAAGCCACTATTGCAAATTTTTGCAGATGAATTTGAAAGATACTTTATAAAGCCATGAGCTGCATGCCCAAATAGTGACACTCTTCTCCTCCTTAAGGACCACCAAACAACAACTAACTCATCAACTACAGAAATTAAAGCAGTTTCATTTAGGCCAAAGTTTCCACGAAGAAAGATCTTCAATTGAGAAGCTAGAGTAGCAGAAAGGCAATCATCACTAGAAATTTCTGCACCAGGTGCCCCAGAAACAGCTTCAATAATATTCACTACTTGCTGCACCAAAGCCATCACAGGGTTGTCGTTTCTCAGTTCAGAAGAATCAAGAGAAGAGTTCCACTCTCCCTCAGCTCTAAACCTGTCATCCTTATTCTGGAAGAGCTGTAAAATCAAAGATTCTACTTTTACGATCTCATTTTCAGTTAGCTTGAATCTCTCAGGGAGAACTTCATGAGCAAGGATGGGAGAAAATGAGCATGAGTGAAGGGTATTTTCATCTGGCGTTAAGAGAGAGTCTCTGGCCTGACTAAAACACCACGACGCATAAGAAATCCAGGATTTGCCCATAGTGGGGCAGAGTTGAGTAGACAGTTTTGTAGCTGTGCCCACAATCTCCTCAATAATAGGACCTAAACGTGTTTTAGAGCTTAGAATCTCATTGCCAAGTGAGGCACTAACTCTGCCAGGAGAAGAGGAATCAGTCATATCAAAGTCTGACCGCATATTAAGAACAATGTCATCTACCCTTGAATCTGAATAGTTCTGTTTAAGCCAATTTGAGAGTTTCAAGCATGCCTTAGCCTTCAGAATACCATTGTCAGCATCAGAACCTATAGATGGTGAAGAAATCATGCAAGGACGCACAAAAGACCAAAGGTTCGTTAAAGAATCTTCAAACTTGTTTTCAGCATGCATTAGCAGGATCCCCTCATACTGCAAATATGAGATGAGAAAGTCATGGTTGCTTTCCCCGGAGCAACGCGATATATGATCTTTAAGAAAGTTGTTCAGACGGTTAGCCAACAGTAGGTTTTTTTGTTTGCGGGCCAAGCTCAACAAATTCATAGAGAGCTTTAAAGTAGCTAGAGAAACTGGGGAAATGGTTTGATAAACTCGAAGAACTTTTAACCAAGGGTTACAGTCCAGATGGACCCTGCCTATTTGTGGCTGCATAAGTTGGACATATGAACTTAATATTGACTGAAGTTGCCTGGGTTTGTCTTGGTTGCCTTTAATCTTGAAAAATTCCTCAAATGCAAAGATGCAGTGCAACTGGGTAGCATGTGGTGCTGCCTCTTCTAACCCTTCAAGCGGCAAAATAGACACCGTTTCCTCCAGCATTGACCTGGCCTTCTGTAATTCATGGGGGATATTATCTTCCTTTCCCTCATTCTGAAGAAGCATTGCCTGTAAAAGCATCTGCTCACTTCTTTGCAAGGCCAGTTTTGGATCAAGTGTGAGCTCACTGCTACTTTTAGGTGTCAAACCAAGGCATGTCCATGCTGCCTGAAATTCACCCTCATCATACCGTGCCAAGGCATGAATTGCATTGATTTCATTCCCAGTTGTCGTCAGAGCACCACAATAACTCTTACCAGCATGCTTAGCACGAAGTGTTTGCAACTCTAATAACCAGGACTCTAAAGATTTCCAATCACAAACAGAATTATAACACTCAATGATGCGTGCAATGACAAACTGTACACCATCCGAACCCAAGGAACTCAACAACTCCTCATTTTGTAGCAAGTGAATAAAGTGTGCAGCAGCCTTTTCATATTTACCTTCTGCCTGATATACAAGCCCAGTGATCCACGTAGAGGGTCCCAGCATCCCACTGTTACTGAGGGACTGGTTTTCCTCCACAAGAAAGGGAGAGAATGTCATTGAAACCCATTTTTCAAGGCCAATTAAAGCCTCTGATTCGTGAGTCTTACACAAAGCCAATGCCATGTTCCGTAAAACCCTCAAGATGTCTGCAGAAAACCTGCCCCTGATATTCTGGAGGTTCTCAGTTACCTGTGCCCTAGACTTTTCATTCAAAGCAGAAGCCACAAGATTCCTGAGCTCCTGTAAACGCAGAGCACAATACTGAAATGTGGCATCATGGCATTGTAGAGCTAATCCAGCATTCATCATTGGCTCACATATACGAGAAAACCACTCTTCACAAACTTTCTTGTTGGCTCGAAAGAATAAGGAACTCGAGCGACTAGCAGACGGCAGAACAGCAGACCCCTCATATGCATTGTATACATTTTTCTTCAGTGCCTCAACGAAATCAAATAGTAACCTCATTGGTAACAAATGAGCACCAGAAGACCCTATCATACTTAAGTTCCCATCATTTTGCTCACTGTCAAGCTGCAGCAGGTGTGCAACATCCAAAAGCATTCGCTCTAAGGCTGCAAAGGTCTGGGTAGGCCCACCAAGGTTAGTCCGAAGGCGCGTGGTAATACAATACCTGGCAGCTTCATGTACAGCCCACCAAACACCAGCCAGATTATTAATTGAGCAATGCTTTTCAAGAAAATCTTCATCCATTTTAAAGTCCAGCCATACACCAGTGGCACCAGATTTTCCAGTTTCCTCAAGTTGACTTGAAACAAAATCTTTTGAAATTCGACAACTATGAATAAGTCGTTGAATCCAAGAAGAAAGAGGCACCTTCCACCTTTGGGATATGTAACTCAATATGGTAACAAGTTGTTGCGAGTGAAGTTGCTGGGGGAGCTGCTTCAAGGAAAATACTTGCTTCCAGTGCAAGTTAGAACTGTTGCCTAACCAAAGAACAACAGCCCTAGATGAAGTAGATGTCCCATAATCATGAATCCCACATGCATACAGTGTTGTAGGCACAACAATAGAAAGCAGCCTAACGAATGCATTTTTTATTTCACCATCTGGATCACCAAGTTTTCCTAAGACCACTTCAGCCATGCAAGAAAAGTAAAGAGGATGTACAATCCTTGCCTGCATTAATAACTCCAATACTAATGCAACATGTGACCTCACTTTTGGTTCCCTGTCAGATGCGGCATCCAAAATTGAGAAAAGCATACTCCCAATAATCTTAATATTGCCATACACTTCATAGAAATGAGTTTCTATGTTTGATTTCTCATTATAAGCAATAACATTCTCACAGATTCTTTGAACCCAATCTAGCGCAACTGTTTTAACTGCAAGAGGAGAAGAAACATGGAGAGCTTTCACAAAAAACGCACCATACTTCCTCAGATTCTCAACAACCACAACTGACTGTTCATTAGTCAAGTACTTACTATTAAGAAATTTATCAGCAGTAGCAAATGTAGATGATTTCCCACTGCTATGGTATGTAACTGCACACTTGCTTAAGAACTTAACTGTTGTTAGCCTGTCCAATGTCTTAATAACATTGACTTGCAAATCCACATATGCCAGAATTGGTAAGTCAAAAGGATTAAATTTCTCCATAATAAAATTCAATAACTTTTCTGACCGCATAAGATACAGGCTTGCAATGTCTGGTTGACTATTCAAACTATTATCCCCGCCCAAGAAAACAGATGTCAACAAAACTTTCAAATCAAATTTAATCAATGCAAACAATTCAAGTTTTGAAAAGAATTTAGAGCATGCAACAAACCCATCTCCATTGCCCATGGCTTTCTTTAGCATGCCCTTCAACAACTCTAGCTCCTCTGTTAACGACGTAACTGCCTGTTCAACAACTTCATTATTCGCATGTTGAAGCAAGAAAATATAAGTGGCAGCAGAACTGCCAGTTACAAGGTGATTAGGATGCAAACGCAGCTGTGATATTGGAGCATCAAATTGCAGTATTTTCTGCACAGATAACCGCAAAAGGCCAAACTTTTGCAAAGATAGTAATTGGAGATTAGTTTTCAAAACTCCATGAACTTGAACAGAGGTAATTCTTCCAGTTCCCATTGGTTGGCTAGTATTGTCCAATTCCAAACTTTGAAATAAAATATCAACTGCAAGAGCATAAAAGGTGGAAAACCTTTCACAAAGTATTTCTGCCAAAAGAGTCAAACACTTCCATAAATTCCCAATCCATTCGAACCACCCAAACTTCCTTCCGACCATAGATAAACATCCCAATAACCTAGGAACAATTCTGTTAAGGGGTTCAGTGATTTGTTCAAGTAAATTCATTTCCAGCAACCCAGAAGCAGTGGACTGCAAAATTGTTGAAAAGCAAGAAAGCAATGCAAGCAACCTTCGGAATTGTTGTGGGGTCCCATGACTTACATCCTGAAGCAAAACATCCATGTCACCTAGAAATTTTGACAGCAGTCCAAGAGAAAACTGCAAATTACCCACCCAATGACTCTGAAACTGCAAGAAACTATCCATTATAATTCGTCTATCCGATTCAGCAAGGTCTGGTACCAATGCCCAGCCAAGAAGCAGATCAACTATGTCAAGAAAATGAGGCTGGAAGCATCTAGAAAATTTTAACGAAATCAAAGTCAAAACACCCAAAAGCCGATGTAACAAACTCAAGGAGGTTCTCTCATCCTCCAGAAGTACTTGGCATGCTTTGAGAATTGATAAAACATATCTCTCGATCCCACCAACATCCCCAACATTGAGAAACTCCCGTAGGCTATCCAATGATAGTTCCATGGTCCCATCTCCAGCACCACCATTACTAAGCAACGGCAATGCCCAACCAATGAACTGGTCAACCAAGCTTCCGAGCATAACATGGTTTTGTCTTCCATTTGATGTTATAGGGATCGAACAAACCACAGCACAAAGAGCCCCGTATGCTACAGCCGCCCCTTGCCTCACTACATACGATCTACAATGCAAAATCCAGAGAGATGACATAAACATATATGGTTTAAACCACAATAGATAATTTCCCAAATTTTTACCATTCAAAACCCTTTTACCCAAAATAGCTTTTTTTCATGTTTTGAGTCGAAAATATTGCCACTTTAAGTGGTGATCCAATAAATCTTAATCAGGAATAGTAAATATTTTGGGTTTCGGCATTGTGAGTTAGAACATCTAGTGTGATATATTCATCCCGAAATTGAATAACGCAAGCTTCATACTTCGAATCCCTTAATTATTTTACACTTTTTTCAGCAAACAAACACAACCAGCAACTTGTCTAAACTAAAACCATTCACAAGAGAAGTACCACGAAAATCAGTTTAGTAGATAATTAAAATTTAAACCAAAACAAAGCAGCAACACAAAATCGAAACTATAATTCCAGAGGCTTTAGTTGTCTAACTCCTTAATTTTACTGCCAAACAAAACCAGTAGGACGTCGTCTCTGCTACGCAAATTCCAATTTAATATATAATTAAACAAAAAAAATTAGTAAGGAAACAAAAACCCAAGTTGTAATTTTAAAGAAAGAAAACGAAAGTGAAGTGGAAGAGGAATTTACTTATCGGAGAGTAGCTGAGAGAAGCCCTGGGCGAGGAAATTGGCGGAGTGAGAAACGAGGACGGAGTTGGGCGGGTAGAGGACGGCGCGGTGGAGCGAATTGATGGCGGTGAGTCGAGCGGAGTCATCGTCGTCGGAGTTAGAGGATGGGGCGGAGGCGGAGGCGGAATCGTCCTTGGGGATGGCGACGGAGAGAAGCGCCGCGAGTTGCTGCTGTTGGTGATGGAGTCCTTGCATCGTTATCTTGCTGCTGATGCTGCTTCTGCACTAGAAGCATCTCTCATTCTCTCACTCAACTGAGTCGGCTCTGGAACTCTGACTCGGGTTTTCTGATTGGTTTATCCGCAGCTGCTGTTGCTCTGCGCTGTCTCTGTGTCTCTGGACTCAACGTGATCCGTCTTCTGCTTTTTCTGTTTTCGCAAGTCTTTCTTTTATTCAATTTTGCAAACTACCAAGAATTTAAGATTTCCAAGAAATTTTAAAATGACAGAAATTAAATTGATGAGATTTTATTTTCTATAATTTATGAATTTTTTTGTTTGATTAGCCTAAAAGAACAATATAATTGAATACGAAATTTGTTATTTTTAAGCTCTTAATCATAGAAATTGAGAAATGACTAACACCTATGGATATGGAATTTAAAGTTGGAAATTGAAGGTTCCAAATTCCAAGTTTTTTTTCATGCGAAAATTCTAAATTTCTATGTTTATGAATCAAAACAAAAGAATTCGTGCATGTCAATTTACAAATTCTGACTTTTATCCAAATTCCAAGTTTATTTCCCTTATCCAAACATAGTGTAAGGGGGTATTCAATTGGGATTTTGAGATATTTAATTTTTTTTTTTTAATGAATCTAGCGTATTCAATCATGATTTTAAGTGATTCTCTGAAATTCAATATGTATTCAATTAGGATTTTAAGATAATTTATTAAAAAATTTAGAAATCTGGGTATATTCAATTAGAATTTTAAAGAATTTTATAACATTTCAGGTGTGTTCAATTAGAATTAGAATTTAGAGAATTTGGAAAAGTTGAGGAATTAGAGGGTATTGGAGATATTTTATAGTGTATTTTAAGCATCCACAAATCTCACATTTTTTTCATGAGATTTCAAGGGAATTGAATCAAAATTTTACATAAAATCTCTACAAATCAGTTAAACTCTGTAAAAAATTCATAGATTTATAAATCCATTAAAATCTCTCAAATTCCTAATTGAATACACCCCTAAATATCTGGTAGAAATAAACACGTTAATCAACGTTTAAGTAATAATTCAATTATCAATAACTACGTCATCTATCTTGCAAATTTGGTTTTGTAATCCCTACATAAAAACCTTCTTTTAAATAGGACTTGGCAAATCAATGGTATTTGTAGAATTGGGGACAATACTTACATATATTTAATACAATCATTATGTGACTGTTGTGTAAATATGTGTGTTTAATACAATTATCATCTAACAGTCAAGATGGTATTTACCTCATGAAATCACCATGGATCATAAAGTCGTCCTGGAATCAACCATTAACCAATACACATCCTCATCCCCTAAGTCACTAAAAGTATGAAGCAAACAAAATTAAGCATTATATAAAATAAAAAGCTTTAATTGGATCAATGAGTTGCATATAGAATTACTAACCCAACAGGCTTTAATTGGATCAATGTGCGTCCAAACGCTAAAGCATACACGTTGCTGGCCCAAAATACCCCTCTGCCTAGCAAGGGTCACTATGCGGTGTTGAACTTGGATGTGGTCCTAGCATGGTACCGAAGAGAGTGCCAAACAAGGCACCCATCCTGTAGATGCCGATGAAGCACTCTTATGTCAACTTATGTGTCCTAAATGTTTAAATACAAATCTGTTTCGTGTTTGGTTTGTATATAAAAATGGTTTTTTTTTTTTTTTTTGAGCTCTACCAGTAATCTATTATTTTATATAAGGTTCTAAAAAACAGTTAGGTGTTAATCGGGTAGCGGGTAGGTGACACACCCCGACTTGGATCGAGGCATGTTAGCCGTCGCGTGAGGGTGACGTAACCACGTGCACAGTGCGGAAGCAATATTAATATAGGAAATGTGAATAAACCAAATCAACTAAAGTACTACATAAGATAAGGTGCAAGTGCGATAATAAGTGTGAGTTCACAATCAGAGCATAAGTAACATAAGTGCAGTCCAGCAGGACAAATACTAATTATACAACACCAAAGATAATCCTACATTGGTGATAATCTGTCAGAGTTGTCGTGAATTCCTCGTAAGCCACTGACAAGCACTCCTAACTTGAACTGGAGGGATGCAAAACAGAAAGTGTGAGTGAGCAAAAACAAAGCTTTTCAAAACCATTTCATTTATCAAAAGTTATAACCCATCGCCGTAAAACCTGTATAATTTCTCAGAAAATATAATATATACATATATCAAAACCATGCATAGAAAATGATATTCATAAATATGTCATGCCAAATATCTCAAAATAACAAAATAAGTAACTCAGGTGAAATAACATATTAGCTGGATCCACCTAAAGTGGCATGTACGGCTGAATCTATAACTCAACAAGTATGCCTGCACACAAGTCGGAACCACCTAATGTGGTCTGTACGACAGGACTGGGTGTAAATAAATACGCTCTAGTGCTACGATCATGTGAAGATTGTGCGAATAACCACGGGTCACCTACGAGTCGGAACCACCTATAGTGGTTTGTATGACAGGACTGTGCACCTAACTTAGATCCAAGGTGAGCGTATGGTGCGGGAGGTGAACATCACGTGAAGGCATGTGCCATGGCCACAGGCGGGAGCACTAACACTGGGGTGTAGGTTTATAAATTCTCAACACATATCACATAATCATCAATTCACATATAAACAGTCTACAACTTACCTGGTACTTACCTGAGAGCGTCCACAACATCAAATCATATTTATGCATATTATACTAATTCATACTCTAAGTATAAATCAATATGCATGGCATTTCAAAACATAATTTCATTTAAACGCATTTTCTAGAAAAAATACCAAATATATAAGTATATACTGAAAACCAAAAGCCCACAAACTGATATGTGGAAGGGTCGTAACTCCCGAGTCTTGCTTAACTGCGCTCGTCCTCAGCATAGGTCTCACCTATATGCGAAACAACTATATAAACGTTATTTTAAAGCACATAAACAAAACAAAGTAATAACTTCTCGTACATAGCTCAATTGGGGTATTTGAATATACCACCATGACCTACTCAACCTCAGGAACACCCCTATATTTTTAGAAAAAATTTTCGAACACCCACTCGCAGGCACGTGCCTGGCACACTGACGGATTCCCTAACGGCGTTATGAAATATTCCGTTAAAAATCAGCATATACCGTTAAAGATACCTGACGCCGTTAGCATATTCCGTTAACTTTGACGGAATATTCTCCTCCTTCTTCCTTGGTTCGCCGCTGCCGCTGCGATCGCAGAAACTGGAAAAATCTTTAAAACTTCATATCTTCTTCATTTCTTAACTAAAATTCATGAATTATATACCAAAATGAAGCTTGAGATGAGATGAACAAAACCTTACCACTCTCAAGTCTTAAATCCACCAGAAACTCGCCGGAAAAACCCACGATAGTCCGGCCACCTCTGCAACTCAACAAACCCGAGTTTCCCAACGTTCAAAACCTTCCAAAATTCTTCTAAAAGCTTTGTGAAGACGATCTAAGACTTCTAAAAAGCTCAAAACTTCAAGAAACACTCGTGATCACGTCGAGTGAACAATGCACCTCATCGGGGGTTTTCGGTTCTCGGGTTTTCGAAGCTTTCATAACCAACCAAAGGTATAGATCGAGTCCTGAGCTCACAAGGAACACAAAAATCACTTCTTCGACATCGATCTGTGCCTGCAAAGGGTGGTTTGAAATTTTTCCGTACAATTGTACGGAAATGGAATGAAATCCAAGAGGGAGAGAAGGAAGAGGGTCAACGGGATTGGTTGGTATGTGTGTGTGGTGCAGGTTTGGCCAACGAAACCAAAAATAACTAAAACTTAAGTTCCACAAACTTAGGAATAAATTAAATTGTTCCAAAACCTAAGCTTAAACCACACCACCATAATATAACTCAACGCCCAAGGGTATAAAAGGAATTTTCATGCTATCGAGGATAAAATAATATATACATTCAGGACGGGCTATCACAACCTACCCCCTTAAGAAAATTTCGTCCTCAAAATTTCCATACAACAATGAACAACCACTAATAACCATAAAATAATCGTGGATACATTTCCTTCATCCGCTCCTTAGTCTCCCAGTTGGCTTCCTCCACTGAGTGATTCCTCCACAAAACTTTCACTAAGCGCATGGTCTTATTCCTCAGAATTTTATCTTTCCAATCCAAAATCGTTACTGGCTTCTCATCATAAGTCAAATCTAAATTAATGTCCAATGGTTGAGGAGGTATCACATGTGATGGATTAGAAACATAATGACGAAGCATGGAAACATGGAACACATCGTGCACTTTAGACAATTCTAGAAGCACCTCAAGCTTGTAAGCCACTTCACCGACTCTCTCGGTGATCCGATATGGTCCAATGTACCTAGGACTTAGCTTACCTTTCTTACCGAACCGTACAACACCTCTCCACGGTGATAGCTTCAAAAACACCCAATCACCTATTTTATACACCCGGTCAATGGCATGCTTGTCTGCTAGACTCTTATGTCGATCCTGGGCCGCTTTCAAGTTAGACTTAATTACCTGAACATTCTGAGTAGTCTCATCCACAATCTCAGGGCCCACCAAAACTCTTTCACCAACCTCTAACCAACCTCTAACCAACATAAGGGTGTACGACAAGATTTACCATAAAGTGCCTCAAAAGGTGACATACCAATACTCAAATGGTAGCTATTATTATATGCAAACTCCATCAGATCTAACCGCTGATGCCTGGTGTCGCCAAACTGGAATACCGAAGATCTTAGCATATCCTCCAGTGTCTGAATAGTTCTCTCAGATTGTCCGTCTGTCTAGGGATGATATGTCATACTATAAAGTAACCTCGAACCAAGAGCCTCCTGAAATGCCACCCAGAACTTAGAAGTGAATCTAGGATCCTAATCCGATATAATACTAACTGGAATCCCATGATACTTAACAATCTTCAATACGAATAATTCAGCTAATCGACTTAAGGAATATTTCTCCCTCACTAGAATAAAATGCGTTGACTTAGTAAGCCGATCAACTATCACGCAAATTCCATCATAACCATTTCATGTACGAGTAAGCTTGTACACAAAGTCCATGGTAATGTTTTCCCATTTCCACTGTGGAATGGAAAGTGGCTGCATCAACCCAAATGGCTTCTTCCTTTCAGCTTTGACCTGCTGACAAATAGCACA